CTGTGGAGGGAGAGAGCAGTTTGTGACTCCCGCTTCCTCCTATGAACGTAAGAAAATAAGGACCCTATGACACTTGTTTATTGACTCCAATATGCTACTAAATTACACAAAATTATATAGAATTATATAAAGCTAAATTGTGTTTCATTGATTTAGATTTTTGTTAATTTGTTGATTGACTTATTTCATTAAAGTGCATAACTGAATTGAATTGCTGTTATCACAAAGCGCGTTTCATGCATGAGCTGTGTGTGTTCTTTCCAATGATTTTTTCCTGTCTGATTTCTGTTAGAAATTTCCTCACTCTGAACAAACTGCACTGCATTTCTCCTGTGAGAGGACTCAGGGTTTCAGGGGAAGGCTGGTGATATTCAACATCTTTATCTTTAAAACTCAGTCATAAATAAGTACTTGAAGTACCTTAAAAGGACTAATAATTCCCTAAATAATAGCTGATCAGTGTACTTTTTAGCAAATGTCACTCAAACAGGAGATAATAGCGCATCTATTTGGTGCTCTATCGCATATTTGGTGCAGCAGGACTGTGCATGTGGTACTGAGTCAAAGTAAATTACAATGTGTTCATGGTAATATTAGGCTACAGGATACAGACTTATCCTTTAATAATCCTGGCATTAAAATGTTCCCCTTCTGTAAATATTCAAATAACAACAACAACAACAATAATAATTATAATAATATATAATGAATTCATTTAAATCTAATTAACAATAAAGATGAAATGATATAGTTATATATAGTTATAGTTATCCAGAACAAATAAACAGACAGTAAAAGAGACATCCATGTCTTCATTCAGAACATAAAATGGAATGAAGGATCCAAATAAAATAATCCAAATATTGTTTGATCTTTAATCAGTCATTGATTAAATACAGATTAAGTGTTCCTCCTATTTGTTGCCTTACTTTTGTTCCTCTTTTGGGCTTTTTATTGCTGTTGTTGTCATTTTTATGCAGAATATTTTTTTTAACAAGATGTCACACATGAAGCAATTATTATCCTAAATGAAGAGTTTTAGAAATGAATGCATGAACGGCAGTGGCAGTGAGAGTCTGTCAGTTGGATGAATTTTAACCATGAGTATCCCTACCTTTTGGATCTTCAGGACGTCTTGTTGATGCTCTTCTTCTTCCTCGCAGTCTTCCGGTTAAGTTGTTAAGTTGTTGTGTTGTTGAGTGTGAAAAAGACTCTGGATTGTTTGAATCTCAACAGAGAGCAGTTAGTGTGAGTTTAAAGTTTGTTTAAAGTGTGTGAGGATGAGCTTTAGGTTTGGATTGATCTAAGGGTCCAGGATGTGGAGGGAGGGGGAGATGTAGAACCAGAATATGTAGAGCTGCAGGTGATTTCAGCCACCAAAGTTAGAAACAAAATTTGGATATATAACATTATAAAATATATAAAACCAGCAAATCTGCCAGCTTTCTAAACAGGTTTAACAAACTATACAATATCTAAGTTTCACAATATCTGCTAGATCAATATAAAGAGACACAACTAAACAGCCCCGTCCTGCATTAGTAAAGTACACAGTTAAAACAACCAAAGAGCTAATTGAACAATGAGAAGAAAACACTTAATTCGTAAATATTTGTATATTTATTATTTAATTAATTATGTATGATTGTTAAAAAAATATATAATACATGAAGAGAAATGTATAAAAAGTTATTAAAATTATGAGGAAAACACATCTCTGATCATTTCCATCATTCACAGGAAATAATCTGCTCAAAATTCATCCAAATCACTAATTTTACGCAAACTTTTTGCAGTTATTCACTATTTGTGTTAATTGTACAGTAACAATATGTCAGAGGTCATCAGTGCACTCAATTATAATTAAAAAAGGGGGTTGGAACGACTGTTCTAAGTCAAGACCTTTAATTGAAACCTCTGTTTGAAGCATTTGATTGTTTCTGACTTCCTCTGACACGCAGTGGTGCACAGAAGCTAATATGAAAGGAATTTCTTCCTCGGGGGAAGAATGAGAGGCTTTTCTAGTGGTGGTATTTCTATGAGATTAAGACCCCCGCCACACACACACTAACAGGATGTACACCAGCTGTAGCTCCAGGATCTCCCCACCACCTCTCTCTCTCTCTCTCTCTCTCTCTCTCTCTCTCTCTCTCTCCCTCTCTCTCTCTCTCGCCCCAATTACCTGCAGTGTGTTTGTGAGAAACAAGAAGTACTCGACCTTGTGAGGCGTATCTAGACAAATAATCCAGGAGTGGCACGAGGGTGAGAGAAATGTATTCGGATTTAATAGCCAACAATGTATTAGTACTTGCTTGGATGAAGATATTTGAATTCAAACTGGGATCAAAATTAATTAAAATAAATCAAAGCTTTTTCTTCCCTTGTTGTTCCAACTTCCAAAAAAATGTGTCAAACGTTAAAATATTTTGCTGGGGACCCCCTACAAACCACTCAAGCACCCCTGTTGGTAAAATATACTCCTTTAAAAGTAAAAGTCCTGCAATCAAAATCATATGTATTATCAGCAAAATGTACTTAAAGTGTCAAAAGTAAAAGTCCTCACTGACCTTATAAGTGATATATTATATATATCAATGGATCCCAACCTGGGGATCGGGACCCCCACTAGGGGTCGCCAAAGCTTCATGGAGGGTTGCGAGGCCTTCTTGATTTTAAGGGGTGTAAGAAAACTTTAAAAACATAGACAGTAGGCCTATATGTCAGTATTTGGTTCACTTCTGTGAAGAAAAGTAAATGTAAAGTAAATTGTGTCATAAAACAATGGTTGAGTGTCGGGGACTAGTAAACACTGAATTTGTCAAAACAGAAGCCTATTAAATATGTATTATTGTTAAAAAATGATAGAAAATACATAATACAGACAGACAATTGTACAAAAATATCCGGAAAACTCATCTCTGATTAATATTAACAGCAGTCTGCTCTAAATTCATCCAAATCTCTTGTTTTACACGAAGTTTCTGCAGTTACTGTTTTCACTGTTTGGGATCATTGTACAGTTTTAAAAATATAATGTGAAATATCTATAAAGAAAAGGGGTCCTTTAAGGAAAAAGGTTGGGAACCTTTGATTATAGTATATCTGTGTATTTGTGCCATTACAAAATTAGAGTGTTATCACATAATGAAGAAATAATTAATAACATTTTGTTGAGTTATTACATAATGTGTCGTTAAAGTTTTTTTTTGCTTATCTGATAGACAGCTAACACCAATTGACAGGTGAACCAGTATGAGACAAAATAATAATTATTAGCCTGTATTTGTTCAAATGTTGTCAAATTGGCACCTTTAAAGTAGATATTAGCATTTCCTGTGTGCAGTGTACCCCATGGATGTACAGACGACTACTGCTGGATGACTATGATGCTGAAGAAAACTTAAAAACCTGATCATTCCGGACAACTTCTGAAGCCTCTTTTTTTCTGTGATTTCTAAGCAGATATTGACTTTTATGAAAGTTCACGTATCATCAGAGAAATGTAAGTCACACTAGATGTTCTAACTTTTACATCTAACATTTTTATAGACTTGCCTTTATGTGATGTGGTCCTTTTATGTTTATTTTTACTCCAACCGCAATTTATTTTATCGTCCTTTGTAATTGTAAATTGTATTCTTGCTGTGTTCTGTCAAAGCACTTTGTAAACCATGTTTTTAAAAGTACTATACAAATAAAGTTATTATTATTATTGTTGTTATTATTAACTCAACCACCCTTTCAGGCGGGGTTCAGGCCCAAAACTTCTGCCAAAGGGCGGGCTCGGGTCAGACTTAATATATGTAATATTTTATTAATAATGCATGCGACTGTATTTCATTTTACCTCAGCTTGTTTTAAACTATTTCATTATTTATTCATTTTTAAGCGAAACATTTTGGCCAAAATTTCTTCTGTGGTTCGGTTCTGGATTGCACAGAATTGTTTTCTTGGTCGGGTTGGACCCGATTAAAGCTCTACTCTACAGCCCCTTCCAAGATACAGTTCAGGTCTTCATCAAACTGCTTTCTTTCTTTGTGTATTGGGGCCATTGGAGCTACTGTCGTTTGTTCTTAGAGGCTGTGTGCACTGCCGGGCTGATGGAGCCGCCAGTAGAGTGCCGGCAGGCTGTGTTTGCACTGTGGGTTGATCTCTTGGCGGGTTCTGTAGTTTGCTCGGGTTCTTCCTCTCAGAAAACGTGGTTAGGGCAGTCAACCCTCCTTGCCTCCTGGTCGTCACTGCAGTGCCAGAGTGTTTCAGTTCGTACCTCCTGATGCACATACATGAACATAATAACGTTCCCATCAGTCTCAGATGTACTTTGTGTTTAGTGCTAATTGGCAAATGTTCAAGCTCAACTAGGATGGTGAACGTGGTAAACATTAGTGTGTTGGCATTGTCATTTTGACCATGATGTAAGCATGCAGACATTTGCATTCAGCTCAAGCATCAGGGAGCCTATGTGTGCCTATAGACAGCAAGGTTTCAGATTGCACCTGAACACCGCTGGCGTCTGACGACCAGGTAATGGGAACGGGCTGTGTGTAGGAGAATGTACAGTGGCCCTGAGACTTGTGAAAAGAGGGCCCCTCCCTCTGTCCCTCTGGACAGAAAAACTGACAATAAATAGTTAGCATTTAACTCCAACCATCTTCAGAGAGCCACTACCATGGCTGCTTTTACTTTCCTAAATCCATTTTAGATGATTTTCCACACGAGAATGGGATTTTATTTTTAGTACATTTAATGTTTTATCATCCCTTTTATGCCAAACGTATAACAGATCTATTAGAAATTGAATGAAAGTGTCTATTTGTTGCATCTGATGCAGTTTCTGACTTCCTGTGACAAATAAGACGCAGCGTTGCACAGAAAAGTAGTTCAGCCAATATGAATTGAGTTTGTGTCTCAGGGCGTTGTGTTAAACTGCAGAATGAGGCGACACTCGAGTGACACATGAGCGTAGGACCCCGCCACACACACTCACACACAAACACGACATACAGCTTACTATCCCCCTCCCAAGACGCACCTGACTCTACCTTTGTCTCTCTTCCATCGCCTGCAGGGTGTTTTACTGATTGTTTGTGAGCAGCAGAATGTACTCAGACTTGTATCCTGCTCACACTCACCCGTCCAACTTGCCTGACTGACAACACCCAAGAACAGACTCACCACTCTGACGAGAGAAGACTGAGGACAGTTTCCAATAAGGAGATCTCTAACTGAGCTCAGGTGAGTGAGCAGAAAGAGTGTAGATGCAGCATTTATAAGCAGTTATTACTAACAGTTATTAGCCTATAATGTTTATTATGTTGTGCGAATAAGAAAATTGTGTACATTCAGAAGTATATTTACTAAATTGTACTGTACTTCAGCACAGTTTTGAGGTCCTTGTACTGAGTATTTCTGTTTTGCAGTGGTAGAAGAATAATAACAAGTAAATAAGCAAATATTGGTGAGTAAGGAGGTCACAAGCAAAGAGGTTGGAAGCAACTGGTTTACCTCTCGAAGTGTGTTTGTATTTTGAACAACATGTTATGTAAATGTCTTTATTTGAAAGGTAAAACTTTCAGGCAAATGCAGTGAAGTAAACAGTCAACTAAAGTATACTTTAACACAAGTAAAGTAAACAAGTATCTCAGATTTGTATTTGAGTTGGCCTAAATGTATTTAGTTATTTTCCATTTTAATGCCATTTTAGTGCCTCTAAACTACAAAAAGTAATAAGCTTTATTCACACCTGTAGTTCAGTTCAATTGTTCCAGACCAGAGAAAAAGTAATGTTTTAATTAACTGTATTAATACAAATTTCAGTTCTGGTCCAGTTCCGGTTCACACTTTAAATTAGTTCTGGTTCTGGAGACCTCGGTGCTCTCCGGCGGTCCAGCCCTTGTTTCAATGATTCAAGGTTATTTTATTGTCATTTAAAGTTGTACAATTAAATAATTTTTATAAAAACAACTAAATTAAAATGCACTAATGAGTCTTAAAAACATTTAAAAACACTCATTTGTACGATGAATTGTATGGCCCGAGGGAAGAAGCCGGCTATAAAATCAGATAAGTTCATTTAACTGTTGAAACTAATCAATTTTAGTTAAGTTAATAAGTTTTTGGGTTAAAAAAGATTCTTGATTAAGCTGCTTTTACTTGTTATTTTAAGTGGCATTTTTAGGTATTTTGTTTTAACAGCACAAAAAAAATATCACTTAAAATGACCAAATCTGATTATCAAGGATGTTTTATTCTTTTACTTTACTTTAAACAAAATTTAGTCAGTTTTACTAAAAATGATATAATGAGTTTCAACATTTTTTTGAGTTAAATGAATTTGATTTTACAGTTAAATGCTGGGTGGGTGCTGTCCTTTAGTGTGCTTTAAGGTCTGCAGCCACCTCACCTCACACATATCACTGATGCTCAGCGTTGGGCAGTAACTCATTACTAGTAATAACATTACTTTCCCCAGTAACTAGTAGTGTAACTAATTCCTAATGAATTTCAATAACCTTACAGTTAACACCAAAACAATAATCACCATAATGTCACCTCTTATTGATTTGAAATCCAACAATCCAATCACATCCTTGGATTTATTTCTGTAGTCGTGGAGGAAAACTTCAATCTTGCTACGCAAAACAACATAACCCGCTCACTTTGGTTGAGTCAGTTTATTTTAAATATTGATTTTAAAATAGGTGCCCAACCCAAAATGAACCAAGAGGAGTAAAGAGGAAGTTATACAGCTGACGTCATCATTGTACAAGAAGCCTGACATTATTCATTACATAATTCCAAATATGCTTTCAGTCAGGGACGTGCACAGACATTTTGGGGGACAGGGGCTCAAGCAAAAAAAAAAAAAAGGGAACCTACAAATTCTCCCCCTGATGTTGCCGCTCCGCCACTTATAATGACACTATTAATGCATCGTTTTTTTCCCCTTGAACTGAACTACAGCTGTGAATACAAGTGTGTGACTTCACATGAACGTATTGGTACTTTTACTCAGGTAAAGGATGTATTCGTTACGTATGTATGCACAGGCACGGTTTAAAACTGTTCATAAACTCATGCTTTCATCCTTTGACTGTGGAAATTGTAGTTTGACAAGTCGATCTGCGGCTCTGAGTCAGATCTGACTCGTTGACCTCGGTCCTCAACAGGAGCCAGAAAATCAGCAAACTGAAATCTGCTCATTTGCATAGGTAGTAAAAACAGGTGTGACATGAGAACATCACCTACATGATCACGTTAGGTTGAAACATCCCGTTCCTCTTGTCTGCCCTCATGGCCGTAACATTTTTATAGGTTTTTCTTTTTTTTTACGAGAGTCCTATAATATTGTGGAGACTTCCTCGGTACAAGGTTCAGGTTGGTAACCAGCGCAACCAGAGCAGCAGGTAGGTTTTTGCCACTAAACTTTAAACTTTAAAACAACTTTAGCTCGTGTTTTTAATGCTTCAGGAGGCGTAGATTGGATATGAACTCAAACTGTGACATCAAAATGAATAAATCTGTATTTAGATGGAGGTTTTTTGTGATCGTCACTCGACAGACGCAAGATCGCCCATGAAACTCATTTATCGTGTAAAATCCACACAGGATACATTCAGGCAAAGAAATTGAGATTAGAAGCTTTAAAAGTTGTGAGATCAAAGAAAATTGAAGCAGTTTTACTTTTAATTTGATATAAAAGAGAGAAAAATATATTAACATTTACATTTAGTGGTGTGATTTAACTAAAAATACTGTGTTTTAGGTTTAACTTCCCATTTTATGACCTTCACTTTACGATAACGGTCGTAGCGTTTTTAGTAGTTACTAAAAAACAAATAAGGAAGGAATGAGGAATAAAAGAGGAACTACCTGCCAACTTATTGTGTGCTGTCGCTCAAACTAGACAATTAAATGAGTTTAATTTAATTAGTGTTCCTAATCTGAGACCAGGAGCAGATCCTCCTGAAAACCAGACAAAGGAAACACAGGACGAACAAACTGATTGTAAAGATGTTTTAGCTGGAAGAGATAGAAACAGCTGACTTTCTTCTTCACTTCAGAATTCAACTTTCCGTCGCCTCATTAAGCAGATTTGTGAGTTTTTGGGGTTTAATTGTTGATTTAATTTGTCAGTTAGAGGAGAAAATAATGAGTTACTGGAGGTTTGTTTGGACACTGATGATAATCAGGGTTGGGAGGGATTACTTTAAAAATGTAATATACAGTTACTCATCACCAGGTATCTCAATATTAAAGTAACTTGATTACTTTCCGTTACCTCAGCACCAAATATGTAAATAAAAACAGAACTATTGATGTTTTCTAAAAGAAAGAACTATTTTTAGCATCAACAATGTGTCCTCCCTATTTTTACTAAATGTAACTGTAATCTAATCAGGTCTTTCTGTCTGTACTTCTAATGGATTACAGTTACTTTACTTTTGTATCCTGATACCTAACTCGGTTCCATGTAATCCATTACTCCCCAGCCCTGCTGATAATGCGTTTAATGACATTTATTTGGTTTTATTTACTTTTACATGAGAACAATTTCTTTAAAGTAGCAGCTTTTATAATATTTTCAACTTTATCTTTATTGTTTCTTTTTAGAAGAAAATTAAAAAAGAGTCAAACAGGAGAGGAGAAATTAAAACTGTAGAATAAACTATTACTCTTTATATTAAAATCTCCCAAAAGTAATGTTCCATATCAATCACATCTGTATATAAAACTCTATATAGTGTAAATATCTTTCTATTTTCATTATATCTTATATACGTTATATATTATATATTATTATCTGGAGCCGCTGTAGCGAGTGAATTTCCCCCAAGTGTGGGATCAATAAAGTCTATCTTATCTTATCTTACCAGAATTGTTGTACGAAGGCTTTTAGAAACACCAAGGTCCAAACACTGAACTTACTGGGGGGGGGTTTGGGGGGCATCAAAGTAGTTATTGTTTCACAACTTTTATTGGAAACTTCTTGGAAAAAATACCAGCGACCTGAGTGGTGGGTACAACCGTGCTCACCTGAGGTGGCTGTACACAATAAGAAGTAAAACATGGAAACTGTTTGTATGTTTATGTCTGTGTGTGTGTGTGTGTGTGTGTGTGTGTGTGTGTGTGTGTGTGTGTGTGTTACAGGTAGAGGATGCTGCCTGTGTTGGTTCCTCTCGTCTTCACCCTCCTCCTGACTGAAACGTCTGCCTCTCTACCATCTTCAGGTAAGAAAAGAGATCAGATCAGAGCCTGCTTCGACATGCAGACAGAATAATGTTCTGTGTTTTAATACTTAACATTGAATCCTGTGTCAGCAGGGAGGGAGCAGGCCTCTCCATGCCCACCTCGGTGGCTCCTCTTCGGGCAGAGATGTTTCGCTTTCTACCCTGTGTGGAGCTCCTGGAGCGCTGCTGATGTAGATAAAACACACAAATGTGCAGTACAAAATATTCAAATATTACATGGGTCCAGTTACATGGTTTAATGTGTGTGTGTGTGTGTGTGTGTGTGTGTGTGTGTGTGTGTGTGTGTGTGTGTGTGTGTGTGTGTGTGTCAGGTTATGTGCTCCCAGTCAGGTGGTAATCTGGCGTCGCTTCACACATCAGAGGAGAGGCAGTTTGTCAGTCGACTAGTAAAAACACACTCCTCTGGGTGGCTGGGTGGCTACCAGGCACAACAGGTATTAATAATAATAATAATAATAATAATAATAATAATAATAATAATAATAAACTTTATTCATACATAAGTGCTTTAGTGATTGAAGCAAAGTTTGTTGTGTGTATTCTCATTCTTCTATCAGGACTTTATTCTTTAACAATCGTCTTTCTCTCTCTTCGTTTTTCTCTCTGAAGAATCTCTCTTGGTTTTGGAGCGATTACTCCCCCTTCAGGATGACTGGTTGGACCAATCAGAGGCAGGAGAACGCCAGAGGGGGCGGGGCTTGCATGCATATGGAGCCAAAAAGTAAGTTTTAGGGGTGGACTTTTGTGACTATTGTAAAATACTTTCTTATTATTCTTTTAAAACATCTAAAAGTGGAACAAAATCCTTTGTTGTGTTCAGGTGGAGAGCTGCACAGCGCCCCCTGTGGAGAGCTCAAGTTCTACATCTGCTCCACCAGAGCCAGGTAGGGTATTCAGATTCTTTACTTTAAAGGACCAGTGTGTAGGATTTAGTCACATCTAGCGGTGTTGCAGATAATTTCAATACCTTCCAGGAGAAACTTGATGTCGAACTCGAAATATCCTCTCTAGAGTTGGTGTTTGGTTTGTCCGTTCTGGGCTACTGTAGAAACGTGGCAGTTCAACATGGTTGACTCTGTAGATAAAAACAGTTGATTCTAAGTTAACAAAACAACGATTGTTATTTTCAGGTACCCGAATGAAAACATACCTATGAATATTATATTGAATTCTGCCAACAAATCCTTTTAAATGTTGTCAGATAAGGAATTCCAGTAGCAACACGTTTTCTATTAAATGTTTTATTAGTATTCGTCACAAATTCAACTAATTCCTGTTAAATTCAACTAATTCCTGTTAAATTCAACCAATTCCTGTTAAATTCAACCAATTCCTGTTAAATTCAACCAATTCCTGTTAAATTCAATCAATTCCTGTTAAATTCAAACAATTCCTGTTAAATTCAACCAGTTCCTGTTAAATTCAACTAATTCCTGTTAAATTCAACCAGTTCCTGTTAAATTCAACCAGTTCCTGTTATATTCAACCAGTTCCTGTTATATTCAACCAATTCCTGTTAAATTAACCAACTCATGTTAAATTACCAATTCCTGTTAAATTCAACTAATTCATGTTAAATTCAACCAGTTCCTGTTAAATTCAACTAATTCATGTTAAATTCAACTAATTCCTGTTAAATTCAATCAATTCCTGTTAAATTCAACTAATTCCTGTTAAATTCAACCAGTTCTTTGCAATCACTACAACGTTTCCCCACAGTGTCAGACCTTCAGTGAAACACATGCAATGCAACAAATGGTTTTTCAGGAAGTTCCTGTTGTGGAAATTTTAATCGGTGAGGTGTGAACTAAAGAGATAAATTGTCTTTCATGCGGTTTATTGCTTGCGAGGAGCATACAGAGTGCAAGCGGCCTTCAGGAGTGACAGGACGGAATAGAGCTTCTTCAATAGTTCTGCATGAACAAGCTCGTGGGTAACGCTTCCTCTTAAGAAGAGGAACAAGGCTGAGTCCAGCTGGTTGAGTTGACCACAACGTAGTCACTGGGTTTGAGGTCGCAGAGAGGTTGTTCAACTGGGACCGGAAGTTCATCCTTCACCTGTCCTTCATTAATCCGTGCTCTCTTTCTCATTCTCATGTACATTAGGACAACTAGCAGTACCTTCGTCCATGAGAGACCTGTTTCTTTTCAAACATTCCCCCTTTTGACACGAGGTTTAACACATGTGTCAGCTTGGCAAAATGGGGGAAAGAAATGTTTTGGGTTCTTGAATTTCCCTTGGGATAAATAAAGTATCTATCTATCTATCTATCTATCTATCTATCTATCTATCTATCTATCTATCTATCTATCTATCTATCTATCTATCTATCTATCTATCTATCTATCTATCTATCTATCTATCTGGTAGGCAATGTTTATAATTGGGGCCAAACCAAATGTCCTTCTTAAGTGTGCAACCTGTGTAATCTCTGTCGATCAGCGTGTGTGAAACTTCCTGTTCAGTTGCAGTGCGAGCTGTGGCATCCGCTCTCACATTTCCTATTGAGACTGGATCAGAGCCGTTAGTGTGAGCTTGACATTTACACACAGCAATAGCAATTCAGCAAGAGGAAAGCATCCAACTAATTTTCATCAGGTCACTCAGATCACCTGTAAAACGTGGCAGATTCAGTGTTAGTAAGACAGCATATAATACAGTATAATATAATACAAGTACAACAGCTCATTGTGGCTCAAAGTAGTCCTAAGTTATAAAATAAAATAATAAAGCGGTGTCTCTGGTGGGTCCCTTGTTGCAGCTAACTGTTGTGATGTGTTGTTCTTTATGAAGAAAACAGTTTGAGGTCACCAACTTCATCTTTAATGTCTAGCTAATGGCAGCAGCTACACACAGTGCTATGAGGATAACAGGTCATTTATTTAATCAGTTAATAATTGTGCAGTTCATCTGCACAACATCTCTCTCACCCCAACTGGTCGAAAAAAAACCCCACCCCACAAAAAGCCGGAGGATCTTTCCTTTGTTTCTCCCTTTTAAAAGACATTTTTTCCCCCCCCTTTCCCCCAAAGTCTTTCTTGGGGGGGTATTTAAGTCTTAAAGGTACTCTAGTACTGCTTATTTGAAAGTGTTGAGATAATTTTTATTGGCGTATAAAATAAAATTGAATTAATTAATTATTAAACTCAGTAGCTGTTGCATCGAAACAATAGTACGTGACCATAGTTCTCTGTGGGTGAGCTGCCTTTCCTACAACAAACCCACTGTGTCTTCTCCCACAGCTGTAGAGATGCTGTGGTTATTCTGTAGTTGTTGGGGTTCAACACTCACATTAAAAAAATGAACGAAAGAGCCAAAATAAATATGATGATAGAGAGACTGTGAGGTTTAAAAACACTTTTCTCATGATATACAGTGTCTACAGCACATTATAGATCTACTCATAGGCCTTACAAAAGACATTGACATACTCACTCAAGAACAAGACAAGACAACTAAGAAATGTAGTAATCCACACACACAATCCAACCAAGAAATAATTTAATGAACTAACTGTCTTTACAAAACGAGAGTTATTCAACTGTAAAATTAATTAAAAGCAGCATTGCATAGAAGCATATACAAATTTTGTCATGATGTCCGATAGGTTTCAAAGTGCTTCTGCTTCTTTACAAGCTTCAGTTGGAACAATTAGCTCCACAGTTCGGGCTGAATAGTGAGACAGAAGAGGACCAGATTTCACAACTTCATGGAGAGTAACGACAAAATAACCTACTTGGTTTTATCTACAAAAAGGATCAGTGCGAGGGGAGCAGACTTCATCAAGCACAGCAACACAATTGTGTTCTTCCTGATCCTCCTCTACAGTGTAGTAAGATTTAACACACTACAGCACGGAGACAGCGTGGTAAACCAGCAGCCACAGGGGTCAAGTTTGGCCGAAATATAGGCTACAGGCCTAAGTCTGCCACCGTGATCTAGAAGCACTGATGTCATGCATCCATTGCTCTCATCAACAGTGTAAAAGGTCTAGTAGGGTTGGTGTAAAGTTGGTGTGGTTTGTAACCTTTACCATGCACAATAGCACTAAGTGGTGCTTCCAAAACTGCTGATTGTCTTGCGATTAAAGCACACACCCAAAGAAGGAAGGACTTGTTTTTCAATTACAGGCTTTGGTATGTTTTTAATCACTTTAATATGCTTGCGTGAGAAAGATTTGCCTTCTGGGGTGATCACATGACCCAAACATGTCAACTTTTATTGGGAAAACTGTAGCTTGTGTTTAACCAACAATGCATTTGTGTCATCATTTATAGGCCTTGTGCAAATACAATAAGGCCTACAGGACATCCTGACAGTAATATACACATCCACCAAACCCTCACACCCTCTTCTTAAACAAAGGGATAAATGCAAAGTAGCTTCTTGGCTGCAAAAATCAGGTACATTTAAAGAAATGAACAAATTAATGTCTTCAATCTGGTCAATTTTCTGATCTGAAAACTGATCCCAGCAACAACCAGAGAGATAAGATCTGAGCATGAAGCAGTGATACAGCGTAAAGTCCTGCTGTGTGACCGTTCTTTACTCTCTTTGTGTTATTGTCTCCTCGTTGTTGTGTTCTTGAATGTCACTGCGATTGTGCGTTAACTCAAACATTAAGGGTTCAATTGTTCTCCCCTCTGTTTACCTCTAGCTCTACAGTCGTCCCCAAGGACAACAAACCAGTTGAACCAGGTGAGAGAGTTCACTGCTGTACTGTTGCATTCCAGTACATATGACGTCCTGTGTGGAGGATTTAGTGGCATCAAGCAGCGTGGTTGCAAATATCCACTCACTCACTTCACCCTCCCTTTCCAAGCACGAGGGAGAAACTACAGTTGTGGGCTACAAAATGTTCTCTAAGGCCAACGAGCCCTTTTCTATCATTTAGTAAACTGACACATTTTATGGATATTTCATATTATAAAACTATATTCCTGTGAATATTGCATCAGAGATGAGTTATACTGATAATTCTCTGTCTGTATTATTCATTTTTAATAGTGCTGTCAGTTAAACATGTTATTAACGGCGTTAGCGCAAACCCATTTTAACGGCGTACATTTTTTTATCGTGAGATTAACGTTCTTTTTGGCCTAGCACACTTTGTAGTTTTTTCACATGCTGTTGCAACAACTAGTAACATTAGAAAAACTAAAACACCACACCGGATCTAGCTAGACCGGAAACAAAACAACAGGCACGCCGCACACACTTGTTTAAGAGTAGTAGACGTTACGTTTTGAGGGGACGGCGAGGGGGGGGGGGGGGAAGATGCCAGTAATATTCTGAATGGAAAGTTTACTTTTAAAAAGTTGAATGGTTCCATTGACAAGACCAAAGTGATCTGTGTGTTTTGTGGTTGTGAACTGAGCTACATCAGCACGTCCAGTCTGAAATACCACTTGATGGTCATACAACAGCTGATGCGAATTCTCCCCTCCTTCAAAGCCAGGCGACAATGGATGATTTTTCAAAAAAAAAAACATTTGCAAAAAGAAAGCCGACCAATTTCCAATATTGCTAGAGATTAAAATGGAAAAAATAATGGAATGAAATCATTTAGAATAATAAAAATGTATGCGAGTTAACTATGACATTAATGCGATTAATCGCGATTAAATATTTTAATCGTTTGACAGCACTAGTTTTTAACAATCACAAACACATATTAGGCTTTCTTTTTGACAGAGAGTGAAGGCTCTGTGAATACAACTTGTGTTCAGGTTTTCAAAGTTTAAATCTTAAATAATAATCTAAATAAAGAAGGCTTTGTGACCCCTGGTGGGTGTCCCGACCCCCAGGTTGAGAACCACTGCCCTTTCAGTAGTTAAAGTTTCTTCCAGGATGCTAATCCAAACGCTGACTAAGCTTTTTCATCTTAAATGCATCACAACGTTTTTATTTTTTTTGCCCGAGCGCTTCAAACAGCCGGAGTCTGAGCTGAAGTCTGGTGATACTGGAGTCTGTTTATTCCTGTCTGTCTCTCAGGCATCATCCCCAGTGTGAGTGTGTTTGATGTTGTGTGGGGCTACAGCGACGTGCTGGCGGAGGAGATCCTTCACTCGTCCTCCTTCCTCAAGGAGCTACAGTCCGGACAGCTGACGCAGCGCTGCTACGACAGCTTCACACAGCAGGAGGCGCTCTATCTGCACAGAGTCAGCGGCACACTGGAGGTCAGAGGTTCTTTCTGTCTGTCTGTGGGCCTCTCTCATTTCTCCTCCATTCCTCTCCTCGCCGCCTCCTCTCCTCGCCTCTCAGATGGGAGGAGAGGAGGAGGCGTGGAGAGACACAGAGAGGAGTCGAGCCAACAGAACAACCTGTACAAAGGTGAAATGTCATTTAGGAATGCAAAGGCTACAGGCTGGTTCATTTTAAATAACTAATACAAGAGAGAGGGGACAGAGGAGACGAGGAGGCATGAAATAGAGACATGAGAAAGGCCCTATCTGTCTTTATCTCTTTACTAAAGAATACTGTATTCTTCTCAGCCTCGTCTCATCAGTTTGTGATTTTCAGCTCTTCTCTCAACTTGTTTCAACGTGTCTTTCCTGTGTGATAATTATGAACAATGATTTGAGTAATTCGATTTTTGCTTCGTGCTGTAAATATGATTTACAATCTGTGGTGAACTGGTGCGACTGGTTGGTGATGTAAGCGTCTTGCGTCCTCCTGCAGGCCCTGATAAGTAGTTTACAGGAAGCAGATGACATGAGATCACTGCTGCTGGACACACTTAAACACTACAGCGGCAGAAACCAGGTGAGACGCACAGACCGGCTCACAAAGAGCATTTTCGGTCGCTAATTAGCAGAACAGAATAAATCAGATGAATGTGCAACAAATGTAATTTTAGTTTGTCATGTCTCCTCTCCCAGAGCCTCCTCGCTTCGCCTCCCCCACCGTGGCTCCGCCTCTCCCTCCAGTCCTTCCACTCAGTGGTTCTGGAAGAGCCGGTCTATTGGCTGGTGGCTCTGTCGGCCCGCGCCTGCCTCCGTGACTTCCTGGCCGGGGAGCAGCTCTTCTCCGAGCTCAAGCCCGGCTCCCTGCTGGTGTCTGAGTCCAAGGTTAAAGCCGGCGGCCTCTACCAGGAGTGGAGGGAAGAGAGTCTGAAGGAGGTCGCTTGGACACAAAGGTACACGTTAACTGTTGTAATATACTGAATATTACTGTTGTTCGTTGTTGCATTAAGTCCCAGTGGAGGAAGAAGTATTGAAGTATTTTCAAGTAAAAGTCCTGCATTCAAAGCTTTATTTATACTGTAAAATATTACTAATAAGTGCAGTAAATACCTTTACACCTGTCAGCTGTCAATCATGACATGAACCCCCTCTTGTTTATAGCTTCAAGTAACTAATAAAAACTAAACTTATCAGAAAGAATGAGCACTTGAACAAACATCAGCATGGTGAATGGCGGACTCCGCCACTAACAATACAGAGATAATTACCAAATGTAAACACAGTATACAATAAAAATGTAAAGATTTTAACTTTAAAGCAGAACTCATGATGTTATGAGAAAGAGACACTACTGCATTGCATTATGGGAACTGTAGGATCCAGCATTTATTTTTAGAGCTCGACCCATTCCAGACACTAAAACTCAATTTGTACTTTTCTAGTGTAAAAAAAAGTGTAAAATTCTCTGTTTTACTTTGGTTTTTTTACGTATATAAAAAAAAAGTGAGATATAATGTGTTAATTAAAGAGTGTGGTCAGGTAAAGGAGGTTGTTGTGTGTGTGTGTGTGTGTGTGTGTGTGTACAGGTACAGAAAGCTGATAGAGGAACACCAGGATCAGCTGGACGTGTTTAAAGCCGTAAACATCTTCAGAGAGCAGATGATGAACCAGAAGAGTTTCTACAAGGCTGTGTAAGAACATATTGAATCAATCTGTCCGTGGATTTATCTGCGTATTGATCAATGAGGGGTCTCTTTAAAGTGTGTGTGTGTGTGTGTGTGTTTCTGCTGCAGAGCCTGTGATGTAGAGGATGATAAATGATGAAGAGGTAAGTAAAAATAATCATCTTTTATTAATTATTTTTAAACCTCAGCTAATAGGATGTGCGATAACTCCGACTCTCTGTTTTCAGTAAGAAACAGACGTCCTCTCCACCAGGATCAGAGAAATAATCCTCTACCTCCTCTTTGCTTGTATTCCCAATAGCTCGTGTCAAGAATAGTGATTTTAAATTCAACTTGTTGATGAATGTAAGTGAAACCGTGCTTTACTGCAGGTTAACTCTGTAGCTGACTCCGGGTGTGACAGAAGTTGTTGGATTGTTCCTTTTAAGCTGACTAGGCTTATTTTAAAGGACCAGTGTGGAGGATTTAGTGGCAGCTAGCGGTGAAGATCGCTCGCCATCCAAACGTGTAGCAGAAACTACGGTAGCCTGTGAAACTCGTAAAAAGAAAACTCAAAAAAGGGCCGAATTAGAGCCAGAGTCCTCCGTCGAAGGGACCCTCTCCCTCTGTAGATAAAAACAACTAATTCTAAAGTAACAATAAATAAACATACAAATATTATCTTTAATTTCTGCCAATAGATCCTCCTAAATGTTACACACTGGACCTTTAAAATGTATAAACTAATCGGACCTCATTGGAAGTAGTTCTTTAACACGTGAAGTTTTCAGATTTTTCTGATATGGCTTGAATGCAGCACAGACACAACCTTGTTATATTTTACAATAAGAAATATCTTTCTTGTGTTGTTGCTAATCTAAAATGTGTTAATCTGCTGTGCTCATTGTCCTCTCTGTCAAGGCTGGATGCAACAATAAAATAAATAAATAAAATAAGACATCCTGATATGATTTCTTCCTCCACTGATGCAAATGAGGCGCAAAAAGAAAACAAACTTAAGCAAATTAACAGTTTTCTCCTACATGCCATCACACGGACGGCTGTCTCTGTCTCCCCCTGCAGGCTGGAACAGGACACTGCACTCAGTATTCGGCACTACTGCATTATTTGACCTGCTGCCAGCAGAAATAAGACATTTTATAGGGATTTATACAGAATAAAGTCGGTTTTATTATATTACAGACTGTAAATTGCACAGAAAACCTGCGTTACATCTACAAAAAACAACTAAAAACTTGTATTTATACAGTAAAATATGCAATCAACAGTACTAATGTCCTTCTACTGTAATAGTACCGTATTTATTAAAGTAAGAATAAGTTTTTTTTACGGTGTACTTCTTCCTGAAGTATATTTATATATATAATAATAAATGTTTATTATATTATGTTTTTATTATCATGTCAGAGAAAATGAGCAGGATGAGCTAATGTGTTTTTTGGTAATTATAAAGGCTTCTACACACAGTTTATAAAATCATTAAAAAGTCTGCTATTATTTCTACTAACAGGTTGACTGGTAGTTAAATATTATTTAATAATATTATTATATATTATTTAACATCTGTTAAATATTACTGTTGTTTATAACAGTGCTAATATTACTACTGTTTTTACTACCATTACTTTTACCACTACTATTAACTCTTAACTACTTCTACTACTTAACCATTACTATTACTACAACTTATTAAACTTCTACCACCACCAGCGGCCTTTTTAATGCCTTTTAAACTCAAAATATCTTTCTCAAAATAATGACTTCATCTCAGAATTATTATTACTGAGTATTTATTCATACTAATTACTAATATTAGGTCAAAATACTGAGAAACGTTCTCATTATTTTAAGAAACTTTCTCATTATCTCGACATATAAGTCATTATTTAGAGATATTAAGTCAAAATATTAATAAACTTTATCATTATAATGACTTACAGTCTTTTTTCCATCACACTGGCTGTAAATTGTCTTCCATGGAATAAATAAATGACATAATACAGATTTATTTTGGTAGAAAGGTAAAAAAAAAAAAAAAAAAAACATTTTCATATAAAAGGTTAAAATCTGTGAAATAAAAAACACAAATAGAAAATAAATCCTACAACTCTTATAAATCTATTTTTAAAGACCCTTCACCTGGTCCAGGGGGCCATACGTCACTGGCTCCAACTGTGTCGTCGGGTTTTAGACGCGGGGTACGGGCGCGTGCGCACGGGTTCACGCGTGTCCTGCCCTTGTGCTATGATCCGGCGCGTGGACAGAGACACACTGCATCCCTCTCTCTCTCTCTCTGTCACACACACACACACACACACACAGAGAGAGAGAGAGAGAGAGAGAGAGAGAGAGAGGAGGCGGAAACCTCCATCTGCCCTGCTCGGTGACCGACCCGTCATCCTCGGGCTCCGGGAAGAAAAACGGATCATTTTCCGTCCAACACCGTGAGTGAGGACGGACCGGAGGAGGAACACCGGGAGGATAATGTGACAAGAGATGGAAGGAGAGAAGAAAGAAGGAGGAAACGCACAATGGAAGGAGTCTATAGTCTATATATAGGCTATGCCCCGGACTGCACCACCGCCGCCGCCACCGCCGCCACCTGCCCTCCTGGTACCCGTAAGTCACGGAGGATGAGCCGGGAGGGAGCTGTCAGTCCCGCTGCGGGGGGGGGGGGGGTTACCGGCAGCAGTGTCCGGTTATCGATGCGAACTGACCCGTGAAAATGACTTTTAAGGTCTCGTGAGGTCGGGTTACCGTTCAGCCATGTTGCAGGAGAGCGAGGGAGGAGAGAGAGGAGGGAGGGAGGAGAGGAGGGAGGGGGGTAACGGCTGGGCTCTTGACACCTGCCCTCGTTCCCGGTAACTGGAGGAGGTGGTTGGTGATTGTTGGGGGGGGGTCGGTTAAAATAAAATGTCTAGATTGTCGGTTAGAGAGCGAACCGACATCCCACACCGGGAGATGACTTTCTGACTCGGTGTGCCGTTCAGCCATGTTGCGGGGGGGAGGGAGGGAGGGAGGGAGGGAGGGGAGATAACGGCGGGGGGCTCCGGGGGTTTTGACACCGACCGACACCGAGAGGGGAGAGAGAGAGAGGGGAGGGGGGAGGAAACTGGTACCGGTGGTTTTCGGTCCTCTAACGGATGCGGATGCAGCCCGGACCGTGGTCGCCATAGAGACGGAGTACGGAGGCTGAACGGGGTCGATTATTAATAATTAGTAGATTCATACTTTTATTTTCATTATTGAGTTTTTTTAAATATTTATATATTTATTTATTTTATTAAATATTTCCACGACCGGTTGAAGATCTACATTAAAAAATATGTTTATATTATTTTTTTATTTTAATTAGATTTTATTTTCAATATATTTTTCAATAATATATATTTATATATATTTTAATATATTATTAATTTGTATTTGTCTTAATGTAAAAATATGAAGCTAAAATACTTAAATTTTAATTCAATTAAATTTCTGTTTTATATTCTATAAACTCTATTTTTTAGTTTATTATTATTATTATTGTTATTATTATTAATTTTTAAAATAAAATATTTGGACGACCGGTCGATTAATTTTAATTACATTTTTGTGACGTTTTTAATTTATTTAATTATTTTTAATATATATTTAAATTTTTAATTTTTAATTTTTATTTGTCTTAATGTATAAATGTGAGGCTAAAATACTTAAATTTGTGGATTGGATACATTTTATTTTTTAATTAAATTTCTGTTTTATATTCTATAAACTCTATTATTATTATTATTATTATTATTATTATTAATAATAATAATAATAATAATTTATTAAATACAAC